TCCCTCACCCATGTTCTGGAAGGATTCCACTCGATTATGCAGGAGTCTTAATGGGTTTCTTACAGTCTTCAGACTAATTTTGATATTTCATTTAAAATAATTTTATTTTCATGTGACCAGCACCACCATCAAATATTCACTCTTTAAATAGTAGGTAAATGCAACCTAAACTTTAAAAAAATCTGGTAGAAAACAAAACAAATACTCATTGGTACATCAGAGACATACCATTTCTGGAATACCCTGCACAGTTTTAATGCTCTTCAAAATCATGCTTCCCAGCAATTTGAAATCATTGAGTTTCATGTAGCCAAGCTCTTCTCCGAGGATTCTCAGATACGCTAAATTCAGGAACTTCCTTGTTTCCCAATTCTTTTATCAGTTTTTCAAGGTTAAGCATTATTCCTTTCGTGATATCCTGAAAATCCAGTCAAAAAGTAGCGTAAAATGAAAGAGATTTATGAGAAATCTATGAGATCATATGCCAAGAACTGTCACTTAGTGAATATAAGCTAATCCACACATGCATTTCTTGCAGACTTGGCTCCCTCAGACAAAGGCCCTTCCCAAACATGGTTAAAAAACATTATTAAATATGATTAAGAATTTCTGTTTTAGCTTCCTAGAAGAGGAGAAGGTTCAGATACAATAAACATTGTAAGTGCTGCAATTAGTGTGTACAGACAATAATGCAGTGCTGTGCAGAGAGTATTTTCAAGCTGTACCTGATCCTGTTTGCCATCTTTGGAATAACCAAAATAGTCAAAGAGTGCCTTGGAAACCTGTTCTGGAACTCTGCCATCAACCCAGTACAAAGCCTTGCTTGCAGTGTCTGGGAAAAATCCCTTCTCTCCAAATAAAGCATCCAGTGTTGGTTCAAAACCCTTTCCATCCAAGCCAAGCTGAAATGTAAAGAGCAATGTCACACCTCAGACAGCTTCTCCACTTTTTTAGGACTTTACAACAGAGACTTGGTGGGGAACAAACAATGTGTTTAAAGTGTCTACTACAGTTGTATGATTCTTGAGGGAAGATATGCAACAGAACAGAATGCTAGGTTTTATGATTAATTTTATCTCTGTGGTGGGGTCCAACACAAAACCTAAATATAGGCTGGATCTCACTTAGAACCTACTATGAGTACTTTAGTGGGTCAGTAATAACTCATTAGCATAAAGTCAATTTGTCACAAATGGGTTTAGCCCTACCCTAGCTCAGGTCTTTAGTGACTCCAGCAAGGTGGTCCATCCAGCCAGCGGCAACTGACATCATATAATGGATGGCTTGCTCTAAATCCCATTGAGATCAAATGAAAGCCTCCTTGTAAGTACAGTGATCACTAGATTTTTCTCCAAAGTTTGTGAAAATAATACATTATTCACAGAAAGTTGTTAAAAGCGAACAGCAATGAGAAAGGCAAGAGCTGAATAATAGCAAATTTTTTTTTATACCTCAAAGATATCACTTTCGTGAAATCCATACATATTCAGGGTGGTTTTTAGCATAGTCTCCTTAGGAACATAAGTGTTTGGATCAAATATCACATTTCCTTCTACTTTGGCAGAGATGGGATCAACTCCAGGTAAAGAAACTTTTTTGGAAATCTGATAATTCTGTGAGAATTTTCTGAAATCGCTGGCTGTTGGAACCTGGTTTCCTTTCAGGGCTTCTTCCACTCTGCTCTTCAGACTAGGAAATAGAACAGTAAAGCAAATGTGATTAGTATATGTACCAAAAAGCACTTAGCCCTGGTTCTGAGATATCCTGTGTTGTCCGTAGACATTTATACAACTGAGGTGATCGCAAATGGCTAGCTCTCCACACATTTTAACAGTGAAAATAAGACTAAGGGTAAGACTTAAGTGGTCACTGCTCTGACAAAGCCACAGATTCACCCAGCTGATGTTCTTGTTCTTTTTTGTAGCCAGGTTACGTCAGTTAATTTTTTTTCAAACAATGGAAATAAACATGGAAACAAACAAAAAATAGCAAAAAATGCACTGCCAGGCAAAAAAATGCACTACCACTGCAATTAGGACCGGAACTTTGTTATTCCTATGTGAGCAGTATATCATTTAATTTTACTTACTCTTCAATGCCTACTTCTTCAGAGTCTAGGATGTTGGCAATGTGTGAGGCAACAAAGCTTTTCACTTGTTCATTCTTCTCCTTTGTGAGGACTCTCACAATCTTGGTGAGATCACTTTGAGAAGGACTTTTCATCAGTATGAGATAAGCTGCCAGACGTTTGTCAGTAGGTGCATCCCCTTCATGGAATGCTTTCAGAAGTGCTGAACGGTCCTGTATTAAACAGAGGAAGGTACATTTTGCACTGACGAGTTGGCTAGTAGACGATATTGCCAAAATCTTTTTGGACTATATTGAGTCAAATGATTTCCAGAATGATATTGATGCATTTTTTTTCAGGATTACATAACCACAAAGGCCTTCATTTCTGTAACTGACCAAAAGTGTTTTGTTGATATTATTTTGATAAAGTTTGATATAAATTTTTACAGAAATTATGGTTTTATTGAAACTGATTTTTTTATCCTGTATCTGGCAGGTTAATTTTTTGTTTAAAATGCTGAATTTTGATTGCTGGAAATAAGATGCTCTGTGTTATGCTCTGCAAAAAATTCTCAAATTTTGGAAAAAAATAAGATCATTCAATTTATGAAAAGAAACAGATCAAATTTTTCTGCTGAAGAAAAATGAAAAGCACAGACTGAAAATAATAAAAGTATTTAATTTTAAAATGCTTTGAATGAAACCTAACCTGATAACCTGAGCTCCAAGTGTTTCAAGGCTCCCAGGTTCCCCAAGCCTCCCTTGTATTGTCTTTTACAGTAGGAACTTTTTGATGTTGAAACTACCTTTTGCCATACTAAGCTGAATTGTTCTGTGTAATGGCACTCATTCTCTACAAGGTGTTTTCATAAACCTAAATCTAAGTAGTACAGTAACAATGACAATCAACTGCCAATCTAAAATAGGGAACCGCTTTTTTTTCTCTCTATTTATTTAAATCTATATAAATCTGGAGTAATTCCTTAGTTAATACAACCTTTCAATAAGCAGAACTCCATTTAAGGCACTATTTGACAGATCTAAACTTTCCATTTAAATGGAAGCTATGTAAAGCAGCTACATCTCAAAGGAGCACTAACCACTAAGTCACAAGCCTGCAGAACTTCTCAGATATATGGACGGAAACTAAGTAAACTCATTAAAGGCGTTCTAGAAAAGCTGAGGATAGCTAAACAGGAGATAGTAAAAATATAAATTAATGGGAACATCTTGGTTTATTCACTTTTTTAGGTGAACAGTTAAGTTAAAGTGAACTGAAAACAGTTTCTGCCAGTTTTTGTGATCCAATTTACCTCTTCAGTAATAGTCATTTTCCTGAATGCCTGGATGGCTGCTTTCTGAACTGAAGGTGATGCAGCTTCATTTCTGATACATGTCTTAAGGAAAGATTTCAGGTTGGGTTTAGCTTTCTCCAGTACTGTGCCCATGTTTCCAATAGCCTGTCAATGATGAAAACACAGGAAAATGATATACATTTTTTCCTTTTGATTCAATAATTCAGCACCTCTTAAAATACCCGAAGTGTGAGATATGTGAGCTCATCATCCCCAGAGCAATCAGTGCCAAGTAGTGATACCATGAAGTCTGCAACGTCTGTTATTTCCTCTGTCACAGTTATCTTCTCATTGTAGAATCTAAGGGAAGAGAGAAACACTTTGGAAACAAAAGAAGGAAATGCTTTTTTATTAATTCCAAAAGAACAAACTCATGAGAACGACAAAAAATCTCCAGAGAGCAACTACTCTTGGTGTTTATTCTAGGCATTTTAATGCCTTGTTGAGATTATTTTGTAAAATTAGGCACTGTCATTACTCACTTAGTAACAGAATGACTCAAGCTATAAAAAGAAGCTCTGCTTGGCCGATACTGGGCCATGTTAAGAATTTCTCGTATTCTTCTAGCAGTTGGAGAAGGCAATAGTCCAAGGGTGTATGTGACCAGGTCTACCACAAAAGGATTCACATCTCCAGCTCTCAGTATCTGAAGGACCGCACTATAGCACTCTGGAGTCCCACACTGAGTCAGGGCCTGGACTGTGATGGAACTGAAAGGAAAAGAAATGGCTTAGATTAATCCCCAGTTTGCAGCTAACCCTACATGCTGCATGTTTGAAGGAAGCTGAATGTTTGAAAGACATATTCAATGCATTTATTAAGGTGTGTTAATGTAAGTGATGTATACTTATGTGTGCTTCGAAGCAAATTACACCTGCTTATCAAAAAGAAGCTTCTTAGTTTTACAAGCTATGCTAAAAACATGACTAGCTGTGCACAACAAGGAAGTATTAACAACACTATCACTACACAGACATCTTTTTTCTCCAACTACCTCACACTTTCCCACATCCTTAACTATTATAACATATTGAATCAGACTGAGGCTTTAGTGTCTCTACAGACTGAGGATACAAATTATGTGTAAACTGAAATAAGTTCAACTAGGACAGGAACAGCAAGTGTTGGTAGGTGGAGGACTGGGGAAGATGAAAGACTTGTGCCCTCTCATATCTCCAAAAATCTCACTTTCACAGCTGCATTCTTCAGTATAAGTCGGACTTGGAGTCTGGAATTACCATCATTGTCCTTCAGAAAAACCGGACGAATTTTCCGCAGATATTTGGTTGTAATAACTTCTCAGGATTGTATTAGGCATACACCCTCGATGAGGGTGGGGGAAGAAAAAGCCAGTAACGTCTTGGGTTTTAAGCCTATGCTATATTCAACTTCATTTACTTTTATGCTTCAGCTTCTCCAACTAGATAAAGATTTGAGTAGTTAATGATCAAAAAAGACTAGATCTTTATGGAAGGCTAGAACTTTCAGACCTATTGAAATTCTTTTATTATTTCCATATATTTAATGTTCATGTTGTTATTACCATCTGAGTGTTTATGATGGAAAAATACTAAATTCAGATTTTTTTCTCGTCCTTTCCTTGTTTCTGTCTAAATAATTACTATGATATTTACCTTTCCGGAAAGTCAATGTTTACATCTAATTACCCTAATTAAAACCATTTGCAGCAAATCATCAGCTTCAGAATTGATTTGCCATGACACTGACACGCTGTATTTGCACAATGCAGTGCTGTAGCATACCTTGAAGTTTCCATCAACTTTGGTACAAGAGAGCCAAGGGTGGCATTGTGTAAACTTCTAAGTCCAGAAACAAATTTGTAAAAGAGTCTTGCTCTCTGCTGGTTCTGCTGGGAGGCTGAAAGTTTTTGCAGTTCCTGGAGAGTTTTCAGAACAGCATCAGCCTGCCTGGGAAATTTTGCATCTGTACTTTCCAAAGCAAGTCCTTTCTCTTCCAGTTCATCTAGCAATCAGAAAAATTACGTTTGATACGTCTTTATCAAGAAGGTATGCTCATATTTACCTTCTGACATACACTTAATATAAATATAAACTCTGTAGACTACTTTATATGATAATTGTTAAAAAGTTTAACAGCTGAACAGTTTCTAAAAATAAGAAAATGGAATTTAAATGTAATTCTCCCAAAAGTAGAACAATGACACCTATTTGCATAAATGCTATTTAATTTTTATGAAGATGATTCACTGACACTTTTTATATTAGCAGGGTTTGATTTTCTAACTTTTAATGAGCATATCTTATGAGAAACGTATCCTATGACTAGGAGTAACATTTGCACACCAAAGAAAGTTATTTCAGAACCAAAGGTGTAGTAATCATGGATCATTTAGATTTGGTAGCTGAAACCAAAAATTGCAGAAAAAGTTATGGCTAACTAAGAATGTATTATTAAACCAATTTCCAAAAAGATTAAAGTTAATTTTCAAGATACACAAAATATTGTAATTAGAAAGATTAAAAAATTAATATGGAAAGATTAATTTAATGAAAATATGAACTATTTTTAAAATGTTATTTTTTCCCCTATTTCCCTCGAATGTTTTCTGACTAAATTTATCAAATTTCATTAAAAATATGAATTGTTTTTTTCTCCTCATATGCATTTTAATGAATTAATTGTTCAAAAAAATGTCCCTGTATTTTTATTTGGCATTTATTCAGAACTGCAGGTGTACCTCCATCAAAATTTCTATTATTGATCTTAGGGGTATCTTCAAGCCTCAGTGTCTGGTTGACTTCCGTCATCACACCATAGCGATTTCTAGTAAACAAAGAAAAATACAGTGCTTTAGTTGAGTCTAAATAGTTTTTAGGGATTATGCCATGCCTGTTGCCTCCTTAAGAACAAAGGGAATACTTGGAGACTAAGTCAGAAATTGAGAGATTACTATTCAAAATGATTATTTACAAAGAAAAGGTAGTGACAAATAGCGTGCAACCTACTTGTATGAGGAAGGCAAAAACAGGTGTTTTTCACTGCAGACAGCATCTCTTACATGCCTTTTCTTTGCATCAATATTGTAATGACAGAATTGAGTGCTCCTCAGAAGGGTAGATAATGGGATGTTCTATAAAATAAATAGTATAACAGTCATTTTGCTGAGTATATGAAACAAACACGTTTTTAAAAGCTGTCATAGTTTTACTTTAATATTAACAATTATAGCATCTTGGAAATGATGGTGCATAACTGGAATCATTCTCATACCCAGAGAAAATTGTGCCAGTGTCAGTTTTTATTCTTAACTCTCTTCACAGGCAAAAATCCCACTGAAATTTTCACTCAGACTTCAGTGAGGTGTTTGCCGTAGTAGTGATTTTATGATTGATCCCCTGCTGCCTGCAGGAAAGGACTCACTCATTTAAACTAATCTGTAATTTTTAGTAGTTCAGGCCCCTTAAAATAGCTGATGTTCTTTACAGTTTCACTGTCTGTAATGTCTGATTACAGACATTCTAAAGATTTCTACAACAAGTTGTAAAAGCAGTAGAAATTACAAAGCGTGGTTTCCAATGGACTTGTATCTTGTGATTCACTGACTTTGAACTGAGGTGAACCAAGGCCGCAGCTCGTGCTTAGCTCTTACTCCATATTAGAGATCCACATGGAAGACGCACGTGCTTTAACTGTAGCAAAAGCACCATCTGAAACAGACCTTACCAGACGCCAGAGATCGATTGACTTATGGAATCAATGTTCTTCTCTGCGAGTTCTTTGGTGTACAATAAAAGCAAAGCACATTGCCTCTGACCTCCATTTAGCTGCCTATTTTCATAAAACTTGCATCAAATAAATATTTTCAAGACTTCTAGAAATGTGGCTGAAAAAGGCCTGTGCATTCAAAAGTTACAGAGTGGAGGTGAATTTCATGCATGCCATTCACAACAGCCCACCTACAGGCCTGGGCACATAACTACAGCGTGATTTGAAATCTTGATTTTTTTTTTCAGGGAAAACACTCAAAAAGCACACATGCCATGATACCAGGAACAAACATGCAAACATTAGTGCAAGCTACCGCGTGTGATCAGTGCAGACACACAAGTGGCCTGAACATGCCTCAGAAACTGGGGCTTGTCAAACCATTCATTTTAGGGCATGTAGAGCCTCTTCCTGTACATTGCGTACACATCAGGGTTCTAGTAGACTACATGGTTTACATAAAATCGGAATATTTTTAAATTTTTGACTCACAAAGCAAAAAATGTGTATGTCATCTGATACAGTATTGCACAATCAGTAGTATCAACTGTGATATAGAAAACTGTCTATGAAAAGGTCTCCTCCAAAAATAATTTGTCAAAATTCAAGAGATGAATATGACAGAAGGTCAGTATACTCTTTTTCTCTGCATCTGTTTTTGTCTACTGACTGGCACCAAGACTACACTCTCCTCTAGCGTAAGGGTGCACAAAACCTATTGAAGTTTTTACAAGATAAACATAAAATTAGTAATTTTTTATCATTTTAAGAGGAAGCTGTAAAGAATGGTATATCATAGAATTTTTACAGATATACTTACTAGTCCCTTCACAATGGCGATGGGGCTGACATAATCTCTGATGGGACTGAAGTTGTCACAGGCTTTCAGGTCCCTGTTAATTGAAATATCTTCTGCAACATTTCCTTTTCTAGATTTGAATTCAACTTCACTATCACACTTTCCATATACAGTGTCCTGGAAAGAAGGAAGAAATAAGTATCTTTGTTCATGCTATCCAGCATTTTTTGATCTAGCTGAAGTGCACCTTCTCTCATTTGAATTTTTAAGTCTTCTGAATATGATGTTCAGGAGTAAGGCTACTAGGTGAGGTTCGTTCCATTTGTTAAGGAAAGAAGGTGAATGCTTCTAAAAACGCTTACCATGGATATTGTTTTTACATTTTCTACTGTTTCTGTTGGCACAAGGAGAGCTGAAATGATCCCCCTCTTGAGGTTCAGGACATTCAGAGGTTCATCCTTCTCGGGGTATAGCTTGACTTTGGTTCCTTCCTGAACACTAAATTTTAGCTCATGCCTGTCCAAAAAAAAAGCCTCAACATTAGCATGAAACTATGGTAAAGTCACTAGTGAAAAATATGATATCAGTAAACTCCTGGGCTATAGCTAAAGCATCGTATTTATCTTGGTCTGTCATTGTTTACTATCCATTGTTATTATTAAGTATCAATCATTACTATAAAGCAGGTCTTTCCCTGCAAAATCCTAGCCAAGGACATTCTGATACCACCAGGCTATGTCATCCAGGGCAAGTAAATATCAGGAGCAACGGCTGGAAGTTGGGAGTTGCACAAATTCGGACAGGAGATAAGTAAATTTTTAGAAAGAGGTAATTATTAACTACTTCAATAGACCACAAAAGGATGGGAAGAGTCTTGTCTGGTTCAAATCTTTAAATAAAAACTTGATTGTTTTCTGAAAAAAACTTTTTAACACTGTCTCAAACTATGTTGAGATTCTACGTCTTGTGAAACACAAGAGGGAGTGGATTGGGAGGCACTGAAACAAGCATAAAAGTGCATGAGTAAAACACGCACAGACAAGGTGGGGGACTAGTCGGGTGGAGGGAGTAGTGGCAGTAAGTTACGAAAGCAGATAAGTAAGGAAAAGATAAGTTGTATAGGTCATTAAAGATCATGATAGGAAATCTGGACTTCAGTCCAAATGCCTTTCTATTGCACAGTCTTTGTACCATGTCAGCAATGGAAAATAATATTAAAGTGGCAGTAGGTAGTCATTTGAGCATTTGCTTACATGAGGGAACATTCCACATGCAATAGTCTTTCAGGGGACTATACATCAGTCTCTGGATACAAATGATGTAAATGATAAAGAAATTCCAGGTGAAAAGTCTGCATGGAAAAAATTTTACTTGGTAGTAATTGAGAGCTGTGCCAGGTCAGGCCTAAATTATATTACAGAGAGTTCTGCTGTGGAACCAACTTATAACCTGCTGTGTTGACATCAAAATGTGTTCCAAGTCTGGGACAACACAGGCAGAGCAGACTGTAACATTACAACCTGCTAAAAGTTAAGGCTTCGAGTATCAATGAAAGCTGTTTGCTTACCTGGACATGGCATTTGCAAAGTCCTCAGAGTTCTTTGACTTTTTGAGGATGGCCCTTCCCTCAGTGTCAACACCAAATGTCTCCCTCAGGGAGCAATGCATTGTCCTCAGGATGAAGTGGCACAGCTGTGGTACCTCCAGTTCAACCTGAAAATAGAAATATGATATCCTTTTCTCATTATCATGTTACCAAGATCATTCAGTTCCAGTCTTAAAAGCAGTCTTCCCTGATTTTGTTAAGTGTGAGAGCCACGCTGACACCAGTTCTTGGGAAAGATTCCAAAGTTCTCCAAGCAGCTTAAGGTAACTTGAGGGAGAAGGCAGCGAAGCAGTTACTTGCTTGGCTAATGGTATGGAGTAGACTGTATACATTGCAAACAAGCAACCTAGGTTTGGAACTTTATAGTACTACAAACCTTGTACGAAAACTTGAGTAATTACGCTGACTGATGTTTAGACTCTGTCAGAATAGTGTGTGCTAAATAAAAAAATAATTTCCCCAGTTACTCCATTTCAGAAAAAAATGGTGAAAGGAAATTGTGATAGGTATTAGGGCTTATGGGGCCCTTTACCCCTACAGCCCCAATTCTGGCTTGACTGTTACCACCAATGGGCCATCAAGCAGTCTTCATGAAATCATTGAGCTGACTCAGTTCAATCTCTAGATCTGTTTGATGGGCATCATTATTTGGTATACTCAGCCTGGGAGCAAAGTGAACCTGGAATACCA